CTGCAGAGCTATGAAAACAGGCTACAGAGGACAGGAGAAGTAAGCTGGCCGGAAGGCATCGCAGAATTGACAAATGAGCAGGACCCTGAAGAATGATAGGAATTTGCCAGGGAAAGGTCTGGGCCTGCACGGGCACACATTCAGGCCAGGAGAGAGAGGATGAGAAAGCACGATGAGAAAGGACTGGCATTCCAAACAGATCAGACCTAAGTCCTCATTGCCCCTGCTCGCTCTAATCTGGCCAGGCTCCAGCCCTGGAAGAACCTGACTGATGCATCTAATACCAGCCTGGGAGTACTGCTGAAGAAAAATGGCCCCCTTTGCGGCCTGGCGCCACAGTAAGTGGACGGGGTCAGACCCCAAGGGGACCTTCAGCACCAGGCAGCCATCCTGCTATAGTTCCTCACTCAGCATTTTTCCTAGTATCCATAGTTGCTATTTCACACCTTCTCTATATTCTTCTATTGCCCCCTTCACTTCTAGGAGTTGCATCTTCCTTCCACTTCTAGAAAAAAGAAATCATCAGATGAGAAAGACTATGACTACCAGCACTGAATCTACATTTTATATGCACACATCCTATTCTCCCTTTCTCCTGTCTGATCTCCTAAGGCCAATCCTGCCCTGCCCCCCACATTCCAGGTGGATTATTCCCTCCCTCACTCCCTGTCTTCCACACCTACTCTATCCTTCCCTTTGATGTCCTCTAAAATGTGAAAGTCTCTCTCACAAGGCAAAAAACCCTCTCCCAACCTCACCTCTTCTTCCAGCTTACCATATTATCTCATTTTTGTTCTCCAAAAACAAATTGGAGTTGTTTGCTCCCATTTACTAGCTCCACTTACTCATCCCCTGCTCATTCTTTGAACCACTGACATCTAAAATGTGGCCCTGCCACTTTAATGAAACTTCTTTTTGTTAAAGTCACTAGCTGCCTCCTTGGTTTTAAATCCAAAAACCACATCTCGGTTCTTACCTTTTGACTCCTGCAGCATTAGCCATTTCTGACCAATGATGCCCTTCTTGGAGCATTTTCTTCCCTTGGTTTCTAGGACATGATTTTCCTTGCTTCCCTCCCTGTCCTGCTGCTCCTTCTCAGTCACCTTCACAGGCTCTGCTTTCTTTGTTTGGCTCTTCAATGCTTCAGGGGTCTGGTCTGAGCCGTGTTTTCTTCCCAGGGTACATACTTTCCTGGGATGACCTCGTCTACACCCATAACCTCAATTTTGCTAATGATTTCCAAAAGTATTATCTTCAGATCTTTTTCCTATGCTTTATTTTCAATTGCCTCTTGGACATTCCACAGGTACCTCAAACTCAGATTAGAACCAGAACACAGAGATTTTTCTACTGAATGTAATCCCCTTGCTATGTTCCTTATCTCAGTGATGGGCAGGTACTAGGATCACTCCAGATCCCACTCTGAAAACCAAGAGTTTGATCTTGACCCTTTACTCTCCACCTCTAATTACTCACAAAGTCCTGTGACCTTCTATCTGTCTTTCAAAGGCACCCAATTTTTTCTATCCTCACTGCTACTCTTTCAGCAACCTCTATCTCTCAGTGTTGATTACTGCCAGAGCCTCCTAATGGGTCTTTAAGCCTCAAGTGTTGTCTACCTCCACTCTATTGAACATCTGTCAGCCAGACAGAGCTCTCTAAAATGCATGCCTGTGTGTACTTCTCCATGTTCAAAACAGCCTTTTTACTGCCCTTAGGAAGTAGTCATTAAGTCCTTCATGATCTGCCCTTGCTTACTTCTCCTGCTTCATTTCTTGCAACTCCCTCAGCCTTGTACGCTCTAGCCACAGTGAAGTTTTGTTAGTTCATCAAATGCCCCATGGGTCATTCCTCTGCACAGACATTTCTCTGACTAGACATGTGCCCATGTTCCACTCCCTCCCCAACTACATATACTCCCTCTTCTGATCCTAGCTCACATCACTCCTTCTGGGGAGCTTCCATGATCCCCCTGGCTTGGTTCAGGTGAGTGACTACATGTTCCTATTGCACTTGACACTTTACTTACCATGGCAATTACCTCATTATATGGTAATGATTTATCTATATTCCTTGATGTGAAACTCTACTTATCTCATCCATTATGCTTCTAGCAGGGAAAGGGCTTGGTAAGTGCTCAGAAAAAATTATCAAGTGAGTTTCAGGCCAAGAAAAGGAGCTTGAATTTCTTCCAGTAGGTAAAGACAGCAACATTTGTTAAACAGGGGAGTGGTATGTCTCAACTATAAGTATCATGGGGTCAGGGAAAATCCTTATTATGTTTACCACTGTATCCAAAGCATCTAGCTTGGCACTCAGTAGACACTCAAATATTCACTGAATGAACAGATAAATGAAGTCTTTCTAGAAAGATGACTGGAGCTAAGATGGAGAGGATGGATTGGCGTGGGAAGGGTCAATGTGGTGAAATCAGTTAGTGAGATGTGGCAAACAAGAGCAAGTAAAGAGGTACCAATGAGGAAGGATCACAGAACAGACGTAAGAAACATTCCTGAGAAAGGACTAGAAAAAACTGGGGA